TGGCCGCTGAGCCTGCGCGTCCGGAGTCTGTGCTCCACAACGGGAGAGGACACAGCAGTGAGAGGCCCGGATACAACAAAAAAAAAAAAAAAAAAAAAAAAAAAAAAAAAAAGCCTTCGGTGGCTCCCCATTTCTCTGGGTAAAAGAGAAGACCTTCTACAAGGCCTTAAGTGATGGTACCCTACCTCATCTCTTCCTTTGCTCCTTGAGTACCCAGATGCCATTCTGCCTCAGGGCCTTTGCACTTGCTGTACCCTTCGCTTGGAAAGCTCTTCTCATATCCTCAGTTGGGAAGAGGCTTTTGCTCCCTCATCTTCGTCAGGTCTTTGCTTGAATGGCACCACCTCAGGGAGGCCTGGCTGGTGACCTTGTTTAACATGGCAGCACCTCTGACCCTTCCCTCCTTCGGAGTCTCTTCCCCCTCCCCCAACATTTAGTTTATCTCCAGATCATTTATCACCCTGTAACACACTATATTACCTTTTTGTCTGTTTTATGTCTTCCCCATTAGAATGTAAGGCTTCATGACAACAAAGACTTTTGTGTGTTCAGTCCCCCAATGTATCTGCAGCATATAGAATAGGGTCTTGCACGTAGTAAGTGCTAGAGTGACATTTGTTGAATTACTGAGTTTTTGCATTTCGTGCACTCATGTGTGTTATTGCTTCACTGAACACATGTTGACCCCACAGTCTATACTAAGAGAGGCCGGAAACCAGAGAAGGCACATCCTTGTCCTGGATTGATGGGGAAGAAAGAACAGACAGAAAGAGAGAGAATCCTATTGTGTGGTGTGATCATAAAGAGCCCAGGTGGGTGTGCGTTCGAGTCCTGGCTTTGCCACTTAATAATTTTGGTAATACTTATTGTGTGCTTATATCCTCTTCTGAGTACCTTATGTGTGTGTGTGTGTGTGTGTGTTGTGTGTGTTTGTATAAACCTCACAACATCCTAGGAAATGGGTTCAATTATCCCCATTTTATACATGAAGAAACCGAGACATATTCAAGTTAAGTAACTTGTCTATAATCACACAGCTAATTAGTGGTAGAGATGGTTGAACCCAGGCCATACAGTTTAGACACTGCATCTTGGTTGTTACTCTGTGCCACCACCTCATGGTCCAGGCCTCTATCTAGCTGTGTGACCCTGGGCAAATTACTTAACCTCTCTGTGCCCCAGTCCCCCATCTGTAAAATGGGGATAACAGCACTGGGAAGATTAAAGGAGGTTACGGAGAGCTCTTAGTACAGTACTCGACGAAGAGAAAATCCTAGGCAAGAAGTGTTAGCAACCACATCGATGATGTTTTCTTTCCACAGGTCCTATAATGGCAGATGCTGAGGGTGCCTTGGAAGCCTGGAAGCGGCTCCTCAGAGGGTCAGGGCAGGCTTCCTGAAGGAGGGGGGTGGGGCGGCCAGAGCTAGACCTGAAGGGCCAGTTTGGCAGCCCCAGGCGGCCTGGAGGATGAGGGAGGAGTGTTCCGGGCCAGGAGCTGCCTGAGCCACTGAGGGGAGGGCCATCTAGCCAAGTCTCAGTGGCTCCCGGCCATGACAAATGCAGATCTGGC